TGGCGATACTAACGGGCATACCCGATGCTCGTTACAACAGAATAGTCGAAAAATTATGGAACGATTGGATTGTGGTCAAAAGCTCGAATACTGGATTTCTTTCGAAATGATTCATTTAAGCTGAATGGTCGAAGATTTTAATTCATTCCTCTATTAGTAGAAATAGAAATTCTGAGAAAATAACATGAGACTGAAACTAGCGAAGCATTCAAGCAAGATGATTCGAAAGAGTCTTGCAGGCTATGCATTGACTTGGTTGAAGTTCAGAAAGATTCGGACATTTTTCAAAAATGGTTGTCTACCATTGGAAATGAATTTATTATTTAAATGGCGACGTTTCATTCGATCTGACTGATGACCATTTTTATCAACGAATACTCTACAAGTTTTTTGTTGAAAAATACATCTTATCAGATCCCTTCCAGTGGGAAAAATCGATCTTTGGAAATGAAAACATTCAATTCACCATGGACAAAAACATACCACTCAGAGAAAAAAAGAACCGAAGACAAAGTCTTATTAAATTATCTATCTCCCTAAGTCAGTACTTGAGAAATACAATCCAATTTTAACGACTTGCAGTGAGTGTATGAATGCGTTGACAGTATTGTCTCCAGCAATAGAAGAAAAAAAAATATCATCTCCAGCTTGATTTTTCTCTGCGTAAAGAAATTTTATGAACACTCTGTAAGTCCCCCGTGCAACATAATCACGTGAAAAGCTGAAAATGTAGCTTGAGACATACCCGTTCAATGAACCATGTATTCCATTTCTCCTCAAATGCAAGACGGTCACCCATGTGTGCAATTCATTCTTTGATGGCTTGTGGAGTTAGTTTGGCAAGCGTTGCTAAGTCAGTAAAACCATTTTCTATAGAAAATAAAGAATTCAATAACGTGATGAATTCATTAATCAAACAATTTCTACCGTGAGCCAAATACAAGAGCGCACCCTCGAGCAAATATTCTATGTGTCATTTAAAACAAAATGGCATTCAAATCAGTAATGACCATCCAATGCATTTTTAGAAATGCCCAACGTCTCCTAGCAGAGAAATACAGCAAAGAATTGATTACGCTCTCGGTCTAGGTCAATCATTTTTTTCTTCTTTTTTTTTCAGTACAGAATCCTAAAAATTGTTTTTGTTCCAATTGTTCGAACCATTCTTCCGAGTTTGGTATGAAAAATGTATTTTCAGTCGAAGAAAATTACTTGTGAACAATATGATGTGATACAATCAAATAATTCCAGTTTTGCAGTCAAGAATTCGTTTCTGAGGAGAAAAAATGGCTTGATTCTGGCAAA